GCAAAGCGGGGTGAAAAAAAAAATATATATATATATATAATATAGATTTATAATAAGAAAAGGTAGTATTCATTACTATTGAAGTATTTTAGAGCTTTTTACAATACTCAGATGATAGTATTTACCATAAAATTCTCTCTGTGTATATAAGATCTCATAGATTTATCGGATTCTATACATTTACTTTTTCATATTTTATAAGAATTTTTTCACTTCTTTCCATAATGGTTGCTAAAAAAATTTATTTTCATAATAGTAAAAAAAAGTTTGCATAATGGCTAACCCTGATAGCCATCTTCATATTTTCTCAGTATTTTTGACTTCAAGAATAGAGTGTGTAACACCTTTTTAATCTTTCAAAATTATTTAAAAAAGTTAAAAATTGAAATATTCTTAAATTATCCGATTTAAGATGAAATAAAGTTCTGCTATGAAGATAAGTATAGTGGTTAGACATCTCAAGAAATTGATTAAAAATAATCAAAAAAAAAAATATCAGACAATAATTACAGACATTATAAAATTTTCGATTTTGAAAATAAATTTATAAAATTTGAAATATTTTTTCGCGTTGAATTCAAAGCAAATATGAATCTTTTAAAATTGAAAGAATGATAGACTTCAGAATGGTTGATTTGGTGCAAAATATTTATTAGTAACTGACGAATCACAAACCTTAAAAGTTAAATTTCATTAAAAACGAACTTGTTATGACTTGATTCCTTGTTGATGTTGGTTATACGGAAAAATGCTAACCTATTAGAGTATGAAAAATTCTATAAGCAAATTTTATAAATTTATTTCCTGAATTCGATATCTTATATAAACTAGAAAATCTGAAAGTCAATTTAAATAGGTCTCTATCAAATTGAATTAAAATTGAGCAGTAGACAGAATACTTTTTTCGCGGCTAATAAACTTTACAAGCTAGCTATAGAATATTATACCAGTACCTTAATGCAGCCAGTTAATTAAAGAGTTAGATTAAGATTTTTTAATCATTTTTAAGTGATGCTCAGAAATCTGACAATTAATTCGATATAAACGTAGAGAAAGAGAGAGAGAGAGATGTTAATAAATATATTGATTGGTTTCAACCACTTTGCAGATCATAGATTCGTTTTTATAGTTCAAATACATTGATAATAAAAAATTCGAAATTTCGAGAACAATACTTTCTGCAGTAAACTCAGGTTCATATTATATACGATATTGATTTTATTTTCTTTTTTTTTATATATTTTAAACAGAAGAATGCATGTAATAAGATTCGTTTTGTTTCTTTGAGGCTTTCAAATAGGCTTCAGTATCGTGTGATCCAGTACTATTGCAACTCTAAATTAAGTTATAGATAAGCATTCATGTGCTTATGTTTTAGGTAACGATTTATTTCTTCAAAAACGAGAAGCAATACTTAAAAAAATAGTTACATACATGCCTACGTGTGTACATTATGTGTATAACATATATATGCACAATTGAAACTATTGATTACGTTTTTCTTCCACTGAAATAGGTCGCGATAATTTCTACAGTGAATAATATTGTTCACTTGAAATCTATCGAGTTAAAATGAATGAAGACGAATTTCCCGCATAATAATAAATAATTTAAGCTATAGTTGAAAACTTTAATTGATTAGAATTTGAAACAAATAATAATAAAAATATTCAAAGTTTTGTATCATATTTTGTCTGAACACTTCATAAAGATATTTATAATATTATAAGAAACTCACCCCCTCGTCAAAAATATTACACACATACAATTTATACAAGCTTCAATGTATAACTGGCTTGAAAATTGTGCCAGCAACCCTTATAAGAGCGCATCAGTTCTGCGCATACGCTACGCAGTCTCCGTATTCGCTCTTCATATTATCTACCGAGACCTTTATATCTAATAACCATGTTGATTTCGCCTACTTTGTAGTTCCTTAAGCGTTCGGGCTACACCTTCACAAAGCCTATACATATTGTCTCCTGGAAATGTTTCATGAAAGCATGAATTTATTTTCTTCTTAAAGATTTTTATAAGTGAATTTTTAAATTAAAAAATAATATTCTTAAAAATACACTTCAGTCTTGTCAAGCATAACTATCAGTATTATACACATATTAAGACTTAACGTCTATTTTATTATGCTGATATAGTTCACATTTAAGTCATACAATGCCAAAAAACAAAAACTGTTGTGACGTTCTGGCAAAAGATTTGAATTATGAATCGATAATTTATTTTAAATGTAATAAACGAATTTCTCGGAATTACATTCCAACGGAAATTTTAGACGATAAGAAGTCATCGCGGCCCGCGAAACGTTAATATACCCACGTCAGCATGGGATCCGGGCCTCGACGACGTTCCCGAAGTGTAACCTGAGCCCAACAATGGCTGCCACAGATCATTTTGTATAATTAAATAATTAACTAAGTCAGTCGACTCGTCTTCGAGCTCGGACCTTGTCCACCGGCTTCTATCTAATTTTGTTCGTATCATTAAATTTTTATATTATAATGTTAATCTTGACTAATTATTTCTAATAGGGGCGAGCGCTTCTTAGCGTTCTACCCTATTTCCTAATATTTCTATAGGGGCGAACGCTTATTAGCTGTTCCACCCTGCTCCTATCAGTAAAAAAAATTAAAAATAATCATATTAATAAAAATCATGGTAAGAGAGATCATCTGTGCGGCCCACCTGGGGTCTATCGACTCCCTAACGAGACTAACCTGGGATTTTTAAAATTATTGAAAGTCGTTATCTGGAAGACCCAAAATTCTAGAACGTTACACCGATTATAATAAACGTATAACTGTTGAATTTAATGAATGGGCCATAAATTCTCTTTTTACGATTCAATAACATACAAAAAATTTAATAATGAATTATTGATTAATTTGGATTACCTATATGTTTAAATAATCAGTTGTGTTAATAGCCACCAAATAATTTAATTTAATTGGAATAATTTGTCGGAAGAATAAATATTGAAATTATGTATTAAAATAACTTTTACAATAAATAATATCATAAGTTTGATCAGTCTTAAACGGTAAAATTAAAAAACATTAATTTTTTAACAGATAAAACTATTCTTATAGTAGTCACCCAAACGTCATAAAAAAATGTTGATTTTTTGGAAGATTTTAGTTAGAAAAAAGTCACCAAAACAATTGCCATGCCGCTTGGGCGATGATTATTGTAGTTTTCTAATTATAAATATTTTTATTTATTTGGTCTGTGAGGATTTCAATGACTTCAAAATCTAACTAATAAAACTGTAAAAATTCATCTAATGTTACATATTTGTAGTTGATAACTAAGCATATTACAAAACAAACTGTTTAGACACTGATTAAAAAAATTTAATATTTTATAACATGAAAAAAAAAGTAAATTTTAACTGAGTTAAAACTTTTTGTTATGAACACGGCAAAAATTTACTCTCTCAAAAATTAGCTCTTCTTGCTAAATTTTAAGACTTTATTCCTACTTGTTCAAAAAATCATATTTTTCTTTGTTTTTTTCGGTCATAATTTCTTTAGTAATGGACATAATTGAAATTGTTTTATTTTCAGTCTTTGTTTTTTCATATATTTTTCAGAAAAATATAAAAATAAATTATTCTAAGAATTTTAAGTGTTTAAATTAAAATTTTTTTTTTTTTTTTTCAAGTGAATGCATAACTTGATTTCTATCAATAACAGTTGTTCAAAATTAATCATCAGTTTTTGAAGACATTTGGAAACACTTACAACAAAAGTTTTTATCTATTTGTAAATATGTTTAAAATTTTGTTGATGTTGTTTTATGTTAGAAAGTATGACTTTCTCACTAACACTATGTAAATTATTTTATTCAGTCCAAGATAAGAAGTTGAAAAAATTTAGGAAATATAAAATAATAATTTGTTAAACCATCCGATTTAGTCTAATATTGAACGGAATTTAACTACCTTACAAATATTATTAAGTTATGTAGTTTATCATTAAGATTTTCATTAAAACGTTAATTATGTGTTATTACGTGACCCTATTACTAGCTTATAGATTTTTGGATGAGTGTATAAGTAAACCTAATCATAAATTGCTTAGTACTGAAAATAAAAGTATTTACCTGTAGTAACACAAATTAATTCAGCGTCATTGCCCTTTGTTTGTACGATCCCGGCTAGTACTTTGCGTCTAGCATGCTGAGGTTTATTTTGCATCAATTCAGTAAACTTTGAATTAACCATCTTGCCAATCTTATCAGCTAACATTTGTGGCAGACTCATTGACTCGTGAGTTGATGAAAAGTTTGAAAAATTAGGTAGCACACGTACAGGCAAAGGTATACAAAATGTTGAACTGTGAACATTGCGTAATTTAGCTAAAGCGGCTTTACTAGCAGCAGCTTTAGCCAATTTTTTACTTGGTCCAGTCCCTTCGAATGTTTCACCATCAATTGTTACAGCAATCGTAAATTTAGCATAACTTTCGCCATTGTCTGACACACAATTATAAATAACACCGGGATACAATTCATTGATAAGCGCAACTGGACCTTTGTCAATAAATTTTGATGGGTTTTTAGGTTCTTGTAGCAATGGTTTGAATGCATTAACAAGATGATTGTCCTTTTCTGTAACGTCAGATGTAAAATCCGGTTCGACTGTTGTCAATGCCTGGCAGCCAATTGCTTGGTGGATTTCAGGTGTATTACGAAATTGAACAATATTCCGTAATGCCAATTCAGCAGCGGCGTGTTTAGCCATTTTTTTTGTGCGACCTTTACCCTCGTACAACTGACCGTCTATTTGTACGGCTATTGTAAATATTGGAGCGTGAGTTGGTCCTGTTTGTGATACCACTTTATACACAGCACCGGTCTTTAATTCGTTCAATGCACAGACTGCATTCTTGGGTTGTGGATTTTTATGACGTTTCTTTGGTATTGGTGCGCCTGTTATTCAATGATTATTTTTATTATTATTCGAGATGATAATTTACAGGAAATATTTAACATGATTAAATTATCATTTTAGAATTTCGTGGATTCATTTTATCTTTTAGTGAGAAAAAAAGAGATTATAATTAAATTTTTTATTGATAAGTTTTGATGAATATCAAGAGCAAAATAAAAAAAAGTTTTTTTTTTTTTATTTACCTTACAAATTAAACAACTTTACGGATCGATTAGAAAATTTAATTAGTTCTCTTCCTTACTAGCCACATCGATTGCCGTAAATGAGATCAAAATTGATTGATTCGTTTGAGTTATTGTATAAAAAATATAAAAAAAAGGCTAGTTTAAAAAACACTTAGAAAACAATGTTCTTATTTTGCCAAATAGATCTAAGAAATATTTCTTCAATTCAGTGATACATTTTTTTATTCTAAATTTCATCGAAATAGAACTTTCTAACAGTTACAAATGATTAAATCTGCCATAAATATGGAATGTTTTTTTTTTTTTTTATATAATAAATAACAATCTTAAATATTTTTTTATAAAATTTAATTTAGATAAATATCGTCTTCTCATAAAATTTTTTTGATTAGATTTCTCCTTCCGCACATTTAACGATTGATCCGTTTATTATAAGAATAAACGATAAAAATATTTAAAATTAGAAAAAATAGCAATGGTGATTGTAAATTTTTGTAGTCGGCACTATTTAATATTTTTAACAAAAAATATTGATAAATAACAAACATTTATTTTGTAGCAGTGAAATTATTGCAGTTAACAAAAATTCAGACAATAATATTTGATTAGCAGTTTTTAAAAATCAATAATATTTACAATTTCCTATCTCAGAACTCTACAAGACCTATAATACAATTAAATTTTTTAGTTCAGTTGCTATCATGTTAAATTTAATTGTATGGTCAAATGATTTTAATCTGATCGTATTCATTTAATCAAATAATATAATCTGTTCTGTATTATGGTTAGATAAGTCAGAATTAAATTATGGATTATTTTGTTAGAATGTAGCATAATAAAAAAAAAAAAAACCAAAATTAGTTGAGAGACCTAATATATTGCTAAAAAAATTCAACAATATCGACTCTAACTATGTAAAAAAAATTATAATCTTAGTTATGTCTCTCATAGCGTCGATTGTTGCGTATATCTTATGAACTATCTAAGATAAAATCGATATGTATTAAATAAATAATCATGGAAATATTTTTTTGTATTGCATGTTTGCGAAAATAAAGGAGTAGTTAAAAAATTGTATTTCTTGTAATCATGATGCAAAAAATAGTAAATATAATAGTTTTCAATGTAGTTATACAGTTCCAGAATTTAAATTATTATAATTTGTTGGGACTCTAATTATAACAATATATATATTTTCTATTCACGAGTCAAAATTTTAAATAATTTGCATTTATAACTTTTTTTAATTTTTACTGGTGAAATTTTTTTTTTTCTGTACGAATTTACTTTTTATACAAATCTTAATAATTTTCAAATGTTGATTAATATTTTTAACGGAAACTATGATAAATTTTGATAATATTTACTGAAAATTTAAAGTTTAAGTATCTTGGCATAAAAAAATGATCAAATTTACCTTCGATGATTGGGTCACCCGGTCTTTTAGTACCTGAATTATTCTTTTGCTCCATCTAAAAATAAAAACTAAATAAAATGAACTGCTTATATAAATAGCAAATAGTTTTAAAAAATAAATAAATACGTACGTTTTTTGCTTGTCGCCTCACAGACTGCGATCCTGAAACATAAATGTTAATTAATATCCAAATTTAAAAAAACTTGTTAGAAATTTATCAATTTTTTTTAAATTCTTACGATTAAAATTTCAAAATTTCTACCAATTTGAGAATGTGTAGAAAATATCTTTTTTATTTCTGAAACAATCTTTAAAACAAAAATTTAGTAAATGCTCAATAAATTATTCAAATTTAAAAATTATCACCAAACTTTAAAAATTTTCACAAAGAAACTTAATTGTTTGTTATTTGATAAATAAAAAATACTTTTTTATAAGTATCGATAAGAACTTATCTATTATCTACCGTTTTTTTTAAATGTAAAACATAAATAAAGCAGCTCAAATAAGCAGTCGAAAAAATCAGTGATTGATTTATTGAACGAATTAAAATTACAGAAAATAGCTCCGATAGATTCTAAACATTCTCATAAATTATTTAATATAATAATTACCTTTTTTTATTTGCGACTGATTATTGTTTAAAACTTGCACCCCGTTAGACATTTTGAACTTAAAAAAATTACAATATTAAAAATTTTTATTGTTATTCAAGTTTTATTATTACTAATATTGACAATAGTAATAGTGATAATAATTATGTTAAAAAGGGTGCATTAAGCATCTGCAAAGCAACCCCCAAAAAGTACTGCACTAATGCATTGATTTTGATTATATTTTACTCAACACAACCAGCGCCACTGACGTTATTTTATTTTATTTTCTTATAATAATCCTCAAGAAAACTAATCCGAATGTATATATATATATATATATCTATAATGTATATATACATATTTGCTATAGATGCAATTCTAACCTCATTTTGAAATAGTAAGAAATAAAAAAAAAAATATAATTTATTTTCAAAAAAATTCGGCGTAATAATTTGTGAAATTTAATATTAATGAAAAATTAATTTTGTATGAAGAATTAATTGATTTAAGGATGTCACTTTACTTACGTATTGTATAAATATAATATTTTTAAAAATCAAGAATGAAATAAAAATGTCACAGTAGCGTAACAATGATACTTTTGTTGTGAGAGAAAACGAAAGTGGTGCGCAATGCGGGTTGCAGTCAACTAGTCAGACTAACAACCTTCCGAATTCATAAATTACTAGAACTTAGAAAGTCAATATAAAATGTAATTTAAAATAATTAGTTTTACGAATTTTTTAATTTCGAAAAATAAAATGTCGAATAAAGAAAAAACTGAAGTTATATTAATAAAATCTTTAAAAGTTACAAAGTCTCAATAAACTGAAAAACATAGCAACGAAAATTTTTATGCCAAAGTAAATGAACAGACGAACACTCATTTAGCCGAAAAATGTAAAAATAATTATAAGGAGGACATTCGCTTCTGTCGATAAAGTAATTTTCATTGTAAATGTTTATTATCATAAGTCTTTTGTATTTAAATATTTACCCTGATAGCCACCTTACCTATAACTTACTGTCAATCTACGTCCGCAATTTGAAGCAAACTTGACGGAAAGAGTTGGCAAAGCGAGCGATTACCTATTAGTTACCTATAACTTACTCTCCAAATAGACGTCAAAACTTGCTGTACAAGTATTTCCGTCAAATTGTAGTAAAGTTGAAAGGAAATTTAACTACAAGTTTGATTGCTAACTTGTATTCAAGTTGCGGCCATAGATTTCCGTCAATTTGCTTACAACTGTTGTTGAGTGAAGAATTACCGCCAACTTGATGTATAAATTAACCGTAACTGCTGGAAGTCAACGCTTACTGAGAAAGCGCTGGCTATCAGGGTAAATATTTATAGAATTTATAGTTAAAAACTTACGTCTTTCAAGATTATAAATGAATATAAAATTAATCAAACTCAAAACAAATTTTGAATATTTAAATTTGTCTTTTAAGTATATGTAAGTCTTAATTTGTCTTTTAAGTATATGTAAGTCTTAATTACTATTTTTATGTACAGATAGAGTAGTCTAATAAAATTAGTTTGATTACGCATAAATAACATCTGCAATTTTTTATTTATCACGAATCCTATGATTCAGATAACTAAATTTAATAGCCAAGACGAACAAATTAGGAAATTATTATTACTTTTCCATTTTATTTGTATCAAGTTAGATATACATTTTTTTATTTATTTAAAAAAAAAATCTTCGAAGAAAGTCACGACAATAAGAAGGTCAATTAACATTTAATTTCCCGAGTAACGAGCTCATTCTGTATGCTGAATATAATTGAATCCTTTTCATCTAAATTTTAGTAATCTTTTCTAAACAAAATTCTAAACATCAACTGTTAATATCTTAGCGTCTCAATACAAAATTTTCAACTATAGAACATACTAGAATGACCTTTACTGACTTAATTACACATTTTCCTTTACTATACAAATTCACTTTTCTTTATATCTTGAAATTATTAACTAAATTAATTTATTATAGCCAACAGGCCTATAATAAATTACTGATTCAATTATCTACCGTAAATTCACCAATAATCTATTAATTTCACTCTCTAAAGATAAATATCCAGTAACGAAAACAAACCAAATGACCTTGACGCACAAATCTCCAAAGCACCAAACTTGCCAATGTAGCAATGACCGCTCGAGAAATTTATCTTTAATTATTTCAGCCTCTTAATTAAATAATTAATCAATTCTGGCCTAAAATACTCAAAAATACCTGGCAACTCAACTTTTGTTAACCAACGACGATTGATCCTCCGGTCCAACCTGGCTGGCTCAGCTGCTTGGCCTCTTGTCGTCTCAACCCACGATGCTGGCCCCCGATCAGGGCTTGTCCACTTCCAAACAACATGATAAAACTCCTCCGTAGTTGCTTCTTAATTACCAAGACTGCACTGTCTAATTTAAACTGGTCTTAAAAAAAGGTCACTGATATACAAAAGGCAACAGGCCACTGGCTTCCAGAGGAAAAAGGAAAAAAAGCCTCGATCATTTTCGTGCACGCTCTTTTATAACCCCGCACTCGGGCTCTCGAACTTTCCTATCGTTACATCCCGCTTCGTTTTTCGGGGACAGTAGTAGGGACCTGTGATTTGCACGCCCGGTGACAAGTCGAAATTCTTGTCAAAAAAAATCGAACGGTAAGGGAAAGCCCTTACCTACCGTGCGTCAATTATTGGGGTCGAAAATGACCCCGGGAAGTTCGATTTTCCCTGTCACAAATCATATATAATCATGCATAATCGTCTACATATGATTAGATCCAAAAATTGGCCAGGTCTAATCATACATAACTTGATCTGTTTATATATGAACAGACATGTTTAGATATGATTATGTATAATCATACATGATCAGATCCAAAAAATGTCCAGATCTAATCATATCTAACTATATCTCGTGAAAAAATATTCTGATCAGACTTAATATAAACATTGGAAATATCAGACTTTATCAGGGTTGATATGGCCATGTCAAGATATAGACAAACCTGAAGCCTAACTAAAATTGATGAATAAATTTACATTTATAATAAAGTTGATACAACATTTATTTTAGTTGTCTTTACAACTTTCTTCAACAACAGATAAACTCATTAATAGAGTACCAAAATCCTACTCTTTTCGGAACTTAACACTTCAAAGTCAAGTATCTAGAAAAGAACAGTTCTGCGGCCATGCGCCATCTATCGAAGACTTTTAATACTAGTTTCGACAATGCGAAACATGTGATTGTTCCATGGTGATGTCTTATTTGTAACTAATTAAAATGTTGTCAGATTTATAAATATTTCATTGATTATTTTAATATTTCCAAAGTTCTCAAATAATTTTAATACTCCATGAATGAATAACTAAAAATTACGTTTCATGATAAATTGATAAATCATACACATAAGATTTTTTCATTTGGCATAAAATTGCATGAAAAAGAATAATAATATCAATTTCATATTGTATATAAAAAATAAAAAAAAAATTTACTTTTTGTAAATTTTAAACCGGATAAAACACGGTAACCGATTGGTTCTACAACAGTAATTTTTTTTTTAAGTTTTTTAAAAATGTAGAGTAATTTGAAAAATATGTAAAATTTATTTATTTTCATTTAATTAATAAAAAAACTAATTTTTTATAATAAAAAATAATATTTATAAATATTAAATAAATAAATATAAAAATAATATTTATAATAAAAATTAACAAAAAATTCTAAAATATTAATTTCTCAATTAAAAAAAAAATTTGTGAAAGAATTGAAAAGTAAATAATTGAAAAGTTCTAAAGCAACTTTGAAGATTTTTTTTTAAATTCACACATTTTACCTTTTTATAATTTATAC